AAAAAGATAAAGAGAATAAAAAGTGAGAGAAAAAGGGAGGGGAGAATTATAAAACAATCGCGAGTTACTTTGTAGTCCAAAAAGAATAAATATATAAAAGAGCTATTACACACACACACACACACACACACACACACACACACACACACACACACACACACACACACACACACACACACACACACACACACACACACACACACACACACACACACACACACACACACACACACACACACACACACACACACACACACACACACATACATATATACATACAGTGTCTCACAATTTATGACACACTCGTTGTATACAAATAGAACTCATCAAACTGAACACAAAATTCCTCTATCATTTCGTAAAGAACCACGTCAAATTTTTAGTTACAATTTTATTTAAAATCTTAATTAAAGAAGATTGGACAATCGCGCGCGATTCAACAGATGAGCTGTGATGACAATAGTCTGCCGTCCAGTGCATTAAATCAAACTGAATAAAAAAGTTCTCTACTATTTTGAAAATGGCCACGTAGATTCTTAGTTATTAATTAAAGAAGATTAGTGATATGATCGTGATATAGCGCAATAATGCACCAATCTTCATCAATCAAAAGCTCAAAATTTTATTGATATATAATGGTTGTGTCAATAATTGTCAAACAACCTGTTGTATATTAAATATGTATATATATATATATATATATATATATATATATATATATATATATATATATATATATCCTGCATTAAAATTTAAATAGTCGTATATAAAAAACAATAAAGATGTCCGGATACCAATGTTATTAGCGTTCAAACATTGGTACTTTTACCTTAATTCCTCCTTGCTGGGGAGTTGAATTCACCGCTGTTCCGCTTTAATGACGCGAATCGCGACGATATAAAAATCACGATGCGATAAAAATCTCCTCCACGCTACTCACTGGCGAGCCGCTCGATTGATCTTAGTTCCTTCTTTAACGATGACGCAGTGCCACGCACATATGCCCGCATACGTTCGCCAATAAATAAGATGTTAACGCGGCGTCGCATAAACATCGATCTAGCGTTTTGCTCGCACATTAGCGTTCGCTCGACTAATCTGACGCAAGGCGAATAAATCCATGTCTGTCGTCGGATCGATCGGTGTGCAGATGGCGAGTGAGTCAATGGAGCAAATGCAGCGCCTGCGACGGGAAGAAGGGTATGAGACACCGCAAGATCCAATGCGTGAAACCAGGTGCTCGACCAGGCCAGGACGATGTGCAGGCGAACTTTGACGCATGCAAGGGTCGCGTGCCGCGGCAGAAGGAGGAGTGCATAGGTATGCTCGTTTGCAAAACAGCTTGTGCACTTTCTATCGCATGAAATTGCAGTCCTTTAAGGTAGTCCCTTAAGTCGACAATATTACTGGAAAGTTATATTAAGTAATAGTTAATACAATACGAAAAAGCCGCGGATCTATACGAAATATTTAGAAATATGATTTATGATATACAGCTTGAACTCTATGGCAAGAGAATATCAATCAAACTTGCATAACGTTTAAAAACCCACAAAGAAATAATCATTTTTAGCGTTTTGACGTATTAATATTGTTGGCTGGATCTCACTGCGTCAGGCATATTTTCGTAAATATATCCTACAGAAGATTGCATGTATGTTTAGCTATTCCTTAACTATGTGTGATCTAATCGAGAGCTACTAAAAATTTTCGACCTAACGCATTCGTTTCTGGGTAGTCAAGTGCCATGACTATTGATTATTCGAAGAAATTGCGACGATGTCAAGCAGCTATGATACTTGGACAGCTTAATGTTTTGTTTGCATTTATAATTGCAGTTATCCATTTACGTGTTTATAATTGCGATTATCCATTGCGTATAATCGTGACATTATTAGTGGTAACATAATCAGAAAATATGGATAACGATAAAAGCACTATGTTCGCTATCTTGCAGCTCCTGAAAAGGCACAATTTAAAGATAACTACTGCGATATTCTTCGCATTCAAGAGGCATAACCTGTTTGAGAAATGTAATGAATATACTTCTACGTGTGACTGAGTATTATTTATTGTTTAATCTATAAGTGTAATATCGTGTTGTAATTAAATATTAAATGTAGATTAGTAAAACTAATTAATAGGACTCATTGTTGCCGTTTTTCCGAATGATCAATAGTCATGACCCTTGATTATCTAAAAGCGAATGCATTAGATCGAAAATTTTTAATAACTCTTTATTAGGACACACATAGCTAGGGAATAGCTAGGCATATATGTAGTCCTCTGTACCGATAGACGCACGCTACATGCTACTAGAAAAATAATCGTGATGTTGGATTTTTTTCATATTTTACCATATCTCTCGTATTTTTATATATTGATTATAAATCTTTAAGATTATTTAATCAATCTATCTTTAAGAAGATATTTAACCAAAAGATGCCAATGGAAATATAGTGCTTAAAGTATCACAAAATCATTACAGGTTAGCTGCCATGTACTTCAATCGCTATCATAAATTGTGTATTTTATATATCAATTTCTTGGAAACTAGATGATTAACGATTTATTTTTTTATATTTCTACAAATCTCTTTTATCGTCTTCTTGTTTTTCGTTGAAAACATAAGTAATTTGTTTACTAAAGATGAAAACATCACGTTGAGAACATGATATCGAGAGTTGTTTTTGTATCTGTGATGATATGAATAGTGCTAACTTTGACTTCAATTATCTCAGCTTTAGTATGGTTAATCTTTTTCTAGTTATACACACGTGTTAATCGTGTTTGGATTAATATACTGTTAAACTTAGAAAAATCTTAAAAAATTGGTTTATGAAGCAGTTACCTTAGTTATCACAGTTAAGAGTCACTAAGAGTTTACGTGCACGATAACGTGTATGCTAATGTGCGTGTGCAGCAATCGACTATAACAGAAGCCGAAGTGACAATACAGAGTGCAACAAACAATTTTAAAAGAAAAATTTAAGTATATATCTTTTTAATTTTTAACTAAGAGAATATTATATAAACAATTTTTACATATTTTACAAAGTAAAATAACGTGACAGTATGTTAAATATATTCTTCATCATAGCAGTGGCACGCAATTGAGACAATTTAAAGATTTGCTATTTTACTCGATAAAATGTACAAACCGTTTGCGACTGAACATACAAACATGACCTGTCGCGTTTGTGACTTTTCCAAAAGAAGTATTCGCTACAGTTCGCGTTAAAAGTTCAGAAGCTGTGTCAACCACGTCGCGAAAATGTTCACAATATAGAAATAATGTGAACGTTGCTCAAGTTTGGAGTGACCTTTGAGCAAGAATGGAAAATAATTTTCTCTCAAAGGAAACCTCGACAAAAGCACATACACATACCAAAATATTACAATTGAAACAATACGGTCAGGTACGAGACCCTGCAAAACAGTATGCCCTAAGAAGACACGACAATCCGACGAGCAGGAGCTTATGGACGCGAAGGAGGCCGCGAGTCTGTCTGTGGACGATCAGCGCAGGATGATCGACAGGTTCGTCGATCTCGAGCTGACTCGTTACTTGGATAGATCTCGCGACGAGCCTACGCGCAACGAGGGCGACAAGCTCAAAGGGACGAATGCCGCGCGGGACTTCCGGCAACTCATTCATGACTGGGCGATGGCAAACGAGGACAAGCGTAAGCGCACCTGTGAAGCGGACGAGAGATTCACTACGCTAAAGCCGGGGTCTATCATCAAGGATTCAGTACCTATCGAGGAGGTTGTACTGCTGCAGGCACCGTACATGGACGAGTCCCTTCAGTCTAATCTGTCGGACAAGGCGTTCCAGGAAGCTGGCGACACTGTCGGCGTCGGTATCGACACGAGCCAGAAGAAGGTCTACAGAGGCGCTCAAGCGGTCGATCTTATCCAAAGGTTGGCCCATCGTAATCTGACTACGACTTCGCGTCCGGCCACCGTCGAAGGGAGCGAGGATTCATCGCAGAAATAATAAAATAGTTCTTAAATAATAAGAAAGCGTTCGCGCATAAAGAATTCATTACGTTTTCTTGATGCGTAAGTCACGTATGTGGATTAAAAATAAAAAAGAACTAAGCGACTCGGATACGTCATCAACTGGATGATGTCAAGGGACTTTAAACATCTTTCCGCGCTCTGTTAGCGCGACTCGCCGTTTGCTGATTCATGTCGCCGTCGCGAGTAAATAATCCAACAGCGTAAAGGCCATCCAGCCGAATGCGAGAAAAAAGAGAGTGGGAAAAGAAAAAAGTGTAATATGACAGATCGCGCGTGCGCACGAGAGAGAGAGCGAGAGCGAGAGAGAGAGAGAGAGAGAGAGAGAGAGAGGAGAGAGAGAGAGAGGGAGAGACTTTCCGACGGACGTCACGGTTGCGCTAGGTGGATATACACGTGGAATGTACAAACTCAAGATTAATGACTCGCGCGCTTTTTGCCACTTAATCTTTATTGGTACAAGAAAATGTCGCGCTCGCTCGCGCCAGACGCTTCTCCCGACGATACCACCAAGACGACGGGCCATTACGGGCCCGAGGAGCGTAATCTCGGATCGTTACGGGAAGTAT